TTAACCGGTTCTGTATTGATTCAATTGAGATCGATATGAAATTATCATTCACAATGTGTTCACAGAAAGAACGACCCAAATGTTGCCTCCCGTTGTGCGATGAATATTAACCACGTACGAATTTTCTGTTTGTGACAGAGCTGTAGCTGCTTATCTGCGTGCTTTGAATCTCAGTCCTAACAATGCAGTCGTACACGGAAATCTCGCGTGTGTCTACTATGAACAAGGGTAAGTAACATGGAGAATTTACTTGGATCGTTTAATAATGGGAAAGTATGTTTGAAAGAGTAAGATGACAAAATGTGTTTTATGTTTTGCAGGCTCATCGATTTGGCAATCGATACGTACAGACGTGCCATTGAACTGCAACCGAATTTCCCAGATGCTTACTGTAATTTGGCGAACGCTCTTAAAGAAAAGGGACAAGTGGTCGAGGCTGAGGATTGTTATAACACGGCTCTTCGCCTTTGCCCGTCTCATGCCGATTCCCTTAATAATCTGGTACACGCATATATATATTTATATGATCTCTGAATGGAAATGAATAACACGAATTCGTTTTTCTTACGAATGAAATTATTTTCATTCTAGGCCAACATAAAACGCGAACAAGGATACATTGAAGAAGCAACTCGATTGTATTTGAAAGCGCTTGAAGTATTCCCTGAGTTTGCCGCAGCTCATAGCAATCTTGCTTCCGTATTACAGCAGCAAGGAAAATTAAACGAAGCACTAATGCATTACAAAGAGGCTATTCGTATTCAGCCGACTTTCGCAGATGCTTACTCGAACATGGGCAATACTCTGAAAGAAATGCAAGATATACAAGGAGCACTTCAGTGCTACACGAGAGCTATTCAAATTAATCCCGCTTTCGCCGATGCTCATTCCAATTTAGCTTCGATTCACAAGGACTCTGGGAACATTCCTGAGGCTATTCAGTCGTACAGGACTGCACTGAAGCTGAAGCCCGATTTCCCAGATGCGTACTGCAACTTGGCGCATTGCCTTCAGATTGTCTGCGATTGGACTGATTACGAAGCGCGAATGAAGAAATTAGTGTCGATCGTTGCCGAACAACTGGACAAAAACAGATTACCTAGCGTACACCCGCATCATTCCATGCTCTATCCGTTGTCTCACGAGTTCAGGAAAGCTATTGCTGCTAGGCATGCAAATCTTTGCATCGAGAAGGTAAACGAGATACTTCTTGAGTAATACGTATTCTGCCTCCGAAGAGTATTGAAATTTTAAGTACGCTTGTTTATACCGATTTTTTACAATCATTACAGATTCACGTTCTGCACAAACAACCCTACAAATACCCGCGTGAAGTTGGTACTCGCTTGAAGGTTGGATACGTTTCGTCAGATTTTGGAAACCACCCTACTAGTCACTTGATGCAGTCGATTCCAGGACTTCACGACAGACAGAATGTTGAGATCTTTTGTTACGCTCTTAGTGCAGATGACGGAACCACTTTCCGAGCAAAGATCGCCAGAGAAACTGAGCATTTCATCGATCTATCTCAGATTCCGTGCAATGGCAAAGCAGCTGATCGTATTAACGCTGATGGGATACATATTTTAATAAACATGAACGGTTACACGAAGGGAGCTAGAAATGAAATATTTGCTCTGCGACCAGCACCGATTCAAGTGATGTGGCTGGGATATCCAGGAACATCAGGAGCCAGTTTCATGGATTACTTAATTACGGACGAAGTTACTTCACCGTTGGAACTTGCTACTCAATACAGCGAGAAGCTTGCGTACATGCCGCACACATATTTCATTGGTGATCACAAGTAAGTCTACAGTATACTATTCTGTGTGCTATGACAAAATTTCTCTTCGACTTTACCTGAATGTATTTACATCGATATGTCTTTCACTTTCTTTTCTAGGCAAATGTTCCCACATCTGAAGGAGCGTCTCATTTTAACAGACAAATTGAATATGAAGGGCAAAGTAGCAGATAACGTAGCTGTGATAAATGCTGCTGATCTTTCTCCAATGATCGAAAACACATGCGTGAAAGAAATACGCGAAGTAATTGTACCGGATGCGAAAAACAAGCCTGTAGAAATCTCATTGAAAGTTGCAGAACTGCCAACCACTACTCCTATCGAGACAATGATCGCTTCTGGACAATGTCAGATGTCGGTGAATGGGGTTGTAGTTCAAAATGGTATGGCCACCACACAGGTGAACAACAAAACAGCCACGGGTGAAGAAGTGCCTCAAAATATTATGATCACAACCAGACAACAATATGGTTTGCCAGAGGACGCGGTTGTTTACTGTAATTTCAATCAATTGTATAAGATCGATCCGCTCACGCTTCACATGTGGGCACATGTAAGTTCGTTTGAATAGTTATAATGGAATTATTTTATAGAATATATTTAAACATCTTCCAATATTTATGTACCGATGAAAAATTTCAGATTTTGAAACACGTGCCAAATTCTGTGTTGTGGTTGCTGCGCTTCCCGGCCGTTGGCGAGCCGAATTTACAAGCAACAGCTCAACAATTAGGTTTAACTCCTGGTAGAATCTTGTTCAGCAATGTTGCTGCCAAAGAAGAACACGTTAGACGAGGACAGCTAGCCGATGTATGCTTAGATACACCGCTTTGCAATGGTCACACGACTAGTATGGATGTTTTGTGGACTGGAACACCAGTGGTTACACTGCCAGGTGAAACGTTAGCGTCTCGAGTTGCTGCTAGTCAGTTAAATACTCTGGGATGTCCTGAATTAATTGCACGAACAAGACAAGAATATCAGGACATTGCTATTCGTTTAGGCACTGACAGAGAATAGTAAGTAAATCGTTATAATATATTTACCATTATTTCTAGGACGTGCAGTAACAGGTAAAATGGCGTTTAACCAATTTATTTGTCTGTTTATTTGTTTAGTTTGAAAGCAATACGAGCCAAAGTATGGAAAGCACGATCTGAGAGTCCTCTGTTCAATTGCAAGCTTTACGCGATTGGCATGGAAATGCTGTACAAGAAAATGTGGGAGCGTTACGCGCGAGGAGAAAAACCCGATCACGTGGCGGCTGTAGATAAAAATGAGAGGGACAAATTATTAGCAATTGCGTCTTAAAAATGAATTCTTAAATCTCTATTTTTTATTTATACAGCTTTAATTCCATAATGTCTGTTTTTTCGGAAATCTTAGCATTTAAAACAGATGATTGATAACCCATTTCACGGAGATATTCTCACATAAATTCCGTATTCTGATATTTACTGTTTTGTACGATAAATCATCGAGCTTAGATTACCATAGGATAACATACGCAAACGTTTAACCTAAGCACGTGAAATTTCAACAAATTATGGATTGTTACACACTTATTCGAGTCATAAGGAATAATTACGTTCACTTCTGTCTTCTTATGTCATCGTATCTTTCACCCTGTTATTTATATACACATAGTATATTACGATTGTCGTAGCATGTTCTCGAAGTATCTCATAAAGTCAGGTGTCTATATTTTTTGGTATAAATTATACGTTGTTGGGAAAAGGGGATAGGGATATTTAAGCGATTAATATTGTTCTCTTTTCTTTTTGACGAGTATACACGAACGAATGTATAGTGACGAAGTACCGCATCACAAATGCGTAACATGTGCGCAGCTGACGTTACAGTTTTCATTCGAAAGTTCCCTCGATTTCGAAAGTCCTTTGACGAGTGTACTCGTTGACGATGTTAAGTAGCTACAAAGATGCTTTTCTGGTCGTTCTTTATGGAATTGTAGGGATGTTTGATCGTCGTTTACGATTTACTCGTAATGGAAAGGTTAAAAGATATAAAAAAGAAGTAGATTTATTCGCATTAAGGTGTTATTACTAGAAGCCGCTGACAGCAAATAATGCAAATTGTATTATATACAATCGACTAATGATAGACGTGTAAATATTAAAAAGGTAATCATTAGTTATTACTTTAGTTTGATAGCGCGTAAATTAAGATTGAAGAAAATGTGTGAGGTAGTGAAAGACGTTGACTGTAGTAAACTTTTAATGTACGTCTATAGAATAAAAAACGATTAAGAATATAATTTGAAAGAATGTGGACGTTGTGTTGTAAGAATGCTTTGATGAATATGCGGCCCGTAAGATTGATTTCTCTCTGTGAAATTCTTACTCAATCTTTTGATATATCAGTTTCACATTGAAAAATATAGGTAATGCTTGGACAAACTTGCTTCAATTTCTTGTATCTTTATTTGAAACACATTTATTCTACGTGACTTGCAATAGAAGAAATGAAATTGTATTTTTAATTTACAGGAAGTGTTGTTTGAAACTTGAGAAATTTTCGAGAAGTAGGAAGAGAACAGCTTATAACATCTCGTTAAATTTATTGCATGTATGACCTCATCCGCCCACTATGTGTACTATCAACATTGCACATTCTCTGATAATGAATAATTGTCCCTATTACGCACAATTTACATCGGAGATACAGATGCGAGTAGTCGTTAAAAATTTTCGTTTTTCAATTTTTAGTTTTCGATATAACCAAGAAGAAATATGTTGGTTATGAAATATTAACGCACTCGGAGGATGAAATGTAAAAATCCCGATACCGAACTTTGATTTTTATAAATAATACGAACATCAGATTGTAGATTTATATTGAGTACGCATCCGAACAAATTTTCAATAAATTTACCAAAGTTGAAAATGATGTGATTTATTGGATTTAATTTAAAAAAAGTTGTGATTATAGATCCTACGGAAAGGCTAATTTGATTATTGATTTAAAAACGTGTTGTTTATTGAAGTTTTTTTTTGTTATCAAGATCTACTTCTTGCTTTTCACATACGTAGTCACTCATAAAACGGATGACTGCACGGTAATTCATAAGAGCATGATTATTTCATATCCAAATGAACGATAATGATCATCGACTATAAATACCGTATGACGAATACCTAGCAGCTACCTTTAGATTCGCGTTGTATTAAGCTGCTACGTCTGAATGTAAAAAAGTAATCGTTCTTATGTAAAGATACTATACATTTAAAGAATGAAATGCAAATTTTTTAACATTGCCCGTTCATACATTTGTTACGTAACAAAATAAGGAATTATCTGCCTCCCATGGAACGATATATAAAAAGTAGTAAAAAACATTGAAACGTCTGATATAGTAACCAATAATCCAACGAATGTAAGCAGTCTCACAAATGAAAAAACTAATGAAAATTGTATTACCTCGATACGGATTTTTGAGTAAAATAATTTTTTTTAACCACAGCTCGTAACATCTCGAACATAAAAATTAGCTCATTCTAGAAGTACTACAATTTGCAATAAAAATATACACGTGGAAAAGGTGGCAGAGAAATTAGAAGAGAAAGATGACGTCATTTTGTTGAAGTCTAATTGTCGTTTCTGCGCAAGATAGAGCGATGGCTTTCGTGGTGATAGAGCACGGTACCGTGGCCCTTAGGCGCAGTATCGATTGCTCATGACGGTACCACCACCATGAGAGGGTGAAACTGGGTCGAAAGCATCCTTCCCAACGGGAGCACTTCCCTCTGTGTATTCTCCTCCGTCTTGCTCGCTCTGAAAAGAGCACCGAAGCTCCATCTTCAGTCGTCACTTGCCACTACCGATGGCCATCGTTTAAATGCCAACTTCTAATTCTTGCTCTAAATCGTAACTTTTTTCAGGTGATTCGTTCGAAAAATTGACAGTCTCTTTACAATCCCGTAACGCAGTGACCTTATTACCCTGATTTTCATAAGTACCCTTACCCCTTTACATATTTTCTTCCATATTTTAACACCAGATGTTCCTTCAAATTGCGGTCATGTGAACATAACCTATTTTGTGGGTTATAACGCAACGTGCTTCTGTGCATAGACTTGTATATTGTTTTTCGATGAAATTGGCTTGCGTTCAAAATTGATTCGCTTAATTCAGGCATTACGATAGATTTATGTATATATAAAAGGAAAGAAATTATACGACAACTGAGAATTGTGCACCGATCGTCGGTGGGACATCGTATGAAACGCGTCCGTTCCAGTCACGTTCGCGTTCCCCCGTTGTAAAAAGAAAGGTTCCGTGAAACCACTTAAATCGAGCGATTAACTTTTATTGGTTTCCAGCAGCCGTCTGTTCGCTCAAAGGAGCTGGGATCCTACCTCGCGAGTTGAATTTTACGAAACTATTCTATCGTGGATTATCCTCCGCGTTTAGCGCTGTTGCGTGGCCTGGTAAAAAGACACGATGATTCGCGTTTGATCACGCGGTTAAATACACAATGTGGCCCGCGCAAAAGTAAACCCGTTTCTACGTTCCTGTTCAAACATAAACTCAAGACTCGACTAACCACTTCGAGTGTGCGTAATTCAAAACGAATTAACCACCTTTATTAACGTTACCTTTAACGGTCCCCTTATAAACATCAGGTACATGGTACTTCGATTCACGTTTAATCGCGATTCGGTAGAAGTGAATTTCTAGTGTCTAGATTCGAGTAACGTTTGCAAAATGGAAGAGCTTGACGCATATACGAGGAAATTGTACGAAACGGTTGCAACAAGGAGACTCGAACAAGGCATCACCGCTCCGCGTTGGGGTGGTTCGCGTTTGAGTCCGCGTTCCGAGCTTCGAAGCAGAGGGAGGCGGAGGGGGGAGGGGGATCCTTGACATAAATAATCAGTAGTAGAGCACCGCGGTACTGCCCCCTGTAGTCATGGTAACAGCATCGATCGAGGCCTACTACCAAGTCGAAACCAGCTACCCTCCTCGTGGCACACGTTTCTTTCTATTTCTCCCTTCCTTCCCTTCCCTTTCCTTTTCTCTGCGCCCGTATTTCTTCTCTTCGCCTCCTCACCCGCCCGCCCACACGCTCTTCACGATCCACCCCCCCTCCCGCCGCCACCCCGCCCCCTCCCATTCGGTTTCGCTCCACTTTGTCGCTATGCCACCCTCTCTAGCCTCAATTTTTTTTTTTGCTCGACGCGTTCTCTCTCTCTCTCTCTCTCCCTCTGGATGCATTTTCTCCAATTTCCCTATGCTCTACTTTCCTGGACTTCTTTTCCACGACCTAACCTCCTTTACGCTCTCGGCCATCTTATTCGAAGGAGAATATATACTTTAGATTCTCGGGCTGCTGCTTTTTAAGCAGAAGTTTTTTTTTTCTTTATGTCCGCTGGGAAGAGAAAAAGTTTGTCGATTATCGGACACCTTTGTCAAACAGAATTCGTCGAAGGTTTCTCTACGGAGGTGTTAACGTTCATCGTAAACTCGAAATGTCGAGTAACTCTCTGAGAAAACATGACTCGTTCGCCTAGCGAAACGTATACAGGCCTTGATTATTCGATGTTCCGGTGTAATGTCGCGATAGGTTAAGAAATGAGTCGAACGGGGGTCCGGAGCATTGTAAAAAAGTCCGCTGCTCGGTTTTTGCTTTCGCTTACGCATGCACGTCGCTGTTTCGCAACTTTTGCGAACCATGTCGTGTGCGCGTGCCGTTGATTGTACTTCGCACGCCGTTCTTTTTTTTCTTTCTTTTTTTCACGTTCCATTATCTTCCACGCGACATATGTATATAACAGGACCAATCGTTGTTTCATCGGGTTCGGTTTCATTGACACGTACCATTACGAGAAAACGATGTTCTGGGTTTTCTTAAATGTTTTCGTATTCACGAAAGATACGGCAATTTTAGGTTATACCGCAAGTGTGTCATAACCTCAATAGTACGACTACAAGATACATACAGAGAGCAAAGAAAAATTTCTTACGATAATTTAGCATACGAACGTATTACCAATCCTTAAGGTAGATTTACAATTCTATCTCACATTCGTATTACGTAATATTACATTTTCGCGTTTCATTCTGAAAATGTTAACTCGTTCGATTTTGCAACGTGTTAATACGATACTATCGAAGCAGGTGACATCTATATTATATCGAGTTAAGGCCAGTGGTGTTCGTTAGCTCGTTGAACGAGCTACGTTTCCTCGGAGAGTTACACGAAACTGCTTTTAGCCATAACGAGGCGCACCGGTGCACTCGTGACCCTGATTGACGAAAGCGTTCCCAGAAAGCCAGCAGGCCGTCGCTTTTATCTATTTTTATCTATCGCGCTGCTTCTCGGAATTTTGCATCCGATGCTGTTAGGGGAAACATAGTCGCGGCCGCGAATATCTCTTTAGACACGCGTTAAAATCAGTACGAGTATACTCAGGAAATGCGAAGGGTTCGCCTATGGGGATATACCCAGGCCAGTACGTTTCCCATCGCGTCGATGATATACGCGTCGAGAGCCGATACGAGGTTTCCTCGATAAATTAACCGGTTGGCTATTAATCCTCGACATCGTGGACCAGATAAAACTGTCCGGAACAATAAATTACATTATTTCAGATACGTTAATGGTCCACGGTTATCGTTGCCAGGAAGCTCTTTTCATTCCGGACGTGAGCTCAATAAAGGATCATAGGATTTTTAGGTTACGTTTAACCTGTTATCCCAGGTTCAGATGAATTAATTCATCTTGTCTACACCAAATAGTACTACAATTTGACGTAAGGTTTAACACATGTTCAAACGATAAGTTGACTTATTTTTATCGGTCAGAAGGTTAACTTCGATTGCACTGTAAAATTCG